TGAAACGGTGAGTGATGTTGATGAACATTATTCTGATGAAACATTTTTCATTGATAGTATTGATATGGATAAATCAGCTACTGGGCAGAGTAAGCGAGACTGGAAGGTGTCAATACCAATCAACAGTTCCAAAACACCTACAATGTTCAAGTTGGACACAGGGGCAGATTGCAATGTGATTAGCCGGAAGGCTTGTGTGAAATCTGGTGTTAACCTGCATAAACTGGTTAGAAATCGAAGCAAATTGGTGTCGTACTCTGGACATGAAGTACCAACTGTTGGCAAATTTACCACAAGCATCCTGTACAAAGACAGGTACCACCTGATTGAGTTTCAAGTTGTGGAAGCAGATGTTATGTCTGTGTTGGGACTTGAAACATGTATGACACTTAACCTCGTAAAACGAGTGTACTCTGTCAATGTAAATCAAAGTGCTGAAAGCACTCGGAAATCTAGTCGCTCAACAGTCAAGGAGACATTGAGTAAATATGATCATTTGTTCAGCGGGATTGGTTGCATGCCAGGTGAATATGAAATAAAAATAGACACATCAGTCACACCAGTAGTTTCTCCACCGAGGAAGGTTCCTCATACACTACAGAATAAAGTAAAACAGGAACTCGACAGGATGGAACGTAGTGGAGTCATTACAAAAGTGGAGGAGCCAACGCAGTGGGTTAATCCGATTGTGATAGTAAAGAAGCCCAATGGCTCTATACGTTTATGCCTAGATCCCAGGGATCTCAACAAGGCAGTTCTCAGAGAACATTATCCCCTCAAGACTGTGGAGGAAGTTGCGGCTACTGTTGGTTCAGCAAAAAATTTCAGTACATTAGATGCAGCTTCTGGATTTTATCAAATTAAGTTAACCGAGAAGAGTACGTGGCTCACCACATTCAATACTCCGTACGGTCGGTACAAGTTTGAGCGCCTACCATTTGGAATCGCGAGTGCCCCTGAAATATTTCAGAGAACTATTTCACAAGTGTTTGAGAACCAGCCATGCACTGCAATTGTAGATGATATCCTCATATGGGCTAACAACGCGGAAGAGCATGTTGACAAACTGGAGAAAGTTCTTGCTAGATGTGACGAGGTTGGATTGCGCCTCAACAAGGACAAATGTAAAGTAGACAAACCGGAAGTGGTGTACGTAGGACATGTGTTTAGCACAGATGGCGTACGACCTACCAATGATCGTGTGAAAGCGATAACGGCACTACCTAAACCAGAGAACAGAGTAGAGTTACAGAGGTTTATGGGAATGGTCAATTTCTTAGGAAAGTTCATTCCTAATCTTTCTACAGTCAATCAACCCCTGAGAGTACTTTTGGAAAAGGATGTAGCATGGCAGTGGTCACAACAGCAGGATGCGGCGTTTGATGCCTTGAAACGCGCGATTACTACGGCACTTGTACTTAGCTACTATGATGTTGGAAAGGAAATAAAGCTATCCGTTGATGCATCGTCATACGGTTTGGGAGCGTGCATCTTACAGGAACAACAACCTGTCGCGTACGCATCGAGAACATTAAACAGGGCCGAAAAGAACTATGCTCAGATTGAGAAGGAAATGCTAGGAATTGTGTACGGGCTGAAGAAATTCGACGAATACGTGTATGGAAATACTGTTCAGGTTGAAACTGATCATAAGCCCCTGGAGAGCTTGTTCAAAAAGCCATTGTCGAGTGCCCCTCCTAGACTCCAACGTATGATCCTAAAAGTACAGCAATACGACTTGGTTGTATCTTACCGTCCAGGCAAAGAGTTGTACATTGCCGATACTCTTAGTCGTTCGGTTGCACCGATTCATGATATGGAGAATGACGTGGATGAGTTTGAAGTACACGTGGTTGGCACTGTACCCATAAGTCTGGAAAAGACCAGACACTTTATGAGAGAAACGGACCACGACAGAGTATTAGCCAAACTGAAACAGACCGTGATGGAAGGATGGCCTCAGGACAAGCATAGCCTTGACCCGGATTCAACACCCTATTGGAATTTTAGGGACGAGATCAGTGTAGTGGACGGACTTTTGTTAAAAGGCAATCAAAGCATTACACCGACAACACTGAGACCGGAAATGTTGAAGACATTGCATAGCAGTCACTTAGGCAAGACTAAGTGTATTCAGAGAGCAAGAACTGCATTGTTCTGGCCTGGAATCACAAAACAGATTGAGGACATGGTGGCGCAATGCCACATCTGTAATCGTTATCGGAACGCGCAGCCAAAGGAACCGTTGATTTCCACACGAGACTCCCGATAGGCCGTGGCAAAAGATCGCGCCCGATATGATGGTATTGGATGGCCTGAAATACCTTGTAACTGTTGACTACTTTTCGAAATTCATCGAGGTAAACAATGTGTCAGATGGAAAGTCAGCAACTGTAATCAACATTTTGAAGCAGCAGTTTGCCAGATATGGCATTCCTGAAGAAATTATCAGTGACAATGGCCCAGAGTTCGCGAGTTATGAGTTCAAGTCCTTTTCACGAGCATACCACATCGAACACACTACTTCGTCTCCGAGATACCCGCAAAGTAATGGACTTGCAGAACGTTCTGTTCAAACTGTGAAACGACTATTCAAAAAGGCTTGAAATGACGGCAAGGACCCCTATTTGGCCCTTATGGAACTGAGGAATACCCCGATAACTGGTATAGAACTCTCACCATCACAGCTGCTCTTAGGCAGGGCTACAAGGACAACGCTACCTGTTAAGCGGACTCAGTAAAACCCATTAGGTTTCGAACCTTGTGCCATCAAGTCATCTTTGGAGGAGCAGAAAGCACGCCAGAATT